GAGAGGGCGGCTTTCCCACAGGTCTTCTCTTGCTGAGAGCGACGGGCCGGGGCTAGTTGATGCAATAAAAAGGGAATCAGGCCGCAAAGTCCCCAGTTACCGGTGGCGACTGGCCAGAGGAAGGCTCCAGCAAGCGTGACCTGACAGTGGAAGTACACACCCCCTAAATATTACAGAGAAAAACTGACAGATACACTTCCCCTGTCTTTGGGGGAATCCCGATCTCTTACCGCAATTCCGATTAAGCAAAAATGCATCCATCAAAACTTCGGGTTTGTTTTATTCCAAAAGCACTTCATTAAAAATGGCTTTAAAATATTATACATAGCTGCTTCAGTTTCTCAGACTGCTGCCTCTCCATTGACTAAAAATACAAAACCAGAAAACCCCTTCCCCTCTCACGCAGATCTTTTCCCCAGAAATCAGGCTACTTTAGTACCCCACTTTGATTGCTTTGGGGGCTGGGATAACCCAGGCACCAGTCACATAATGGTTGTGCTGCTCCAGCAACTGGCACCTGATGTGCAGGGCTGGCAGTCAGGTCCCTGTACCACAGCCCCGCCACGCTGCGAGGCCTCGGCCTGAGCACGTAGGTGTGTGGGGGCTCTTTGTGCTACTGCTCCTTGTAGTGTTTTCTTCCTATCTGATCCAAACTGACTGCAGAGGAGACCTCGAGCTGTCGCTACCGTTCTCTTCTGGTTACTGTGCTGCTTCCTAAGCCCTTGAGGCAGCTTTACCTCCAAGGGTCCTCACCTGGGAAGAGTGGCCCTCCCAGGATCCTGTGCTGCTGCCCACACTCTTCCCAGTGCCTGTCTGGATGCCAGAGAAGAGGCTGCTTCCTACCAAGCTTCTCTACTCAGGAGCCACAGAACATTTCAGAAATTGTGTTCTCTCCGGGCCAAGCAGCCTGCAGTGGGGATAAATACAGAGAGCGCAAGCAACCTGTGACTGAATTTGAGTCAGCAATGTGAGGAGTAGCTGCCACTGTGTGACTGAAAACATTTCCTCAACCAGACTGAAGGAGATGAGGAAAGGAGTGTAACAGCTGTGGGAAAGAACAGTAAATACTGAAGTGAGCAACTGTGTTACCAGCCTCAAAAAACAACCCCAAAACCAACAAAACAATCCTAGAAAGTTACAGAAGGGGAACAGAGCAGAGAATCTGTGAACATCTGAAAAACAGAAAAGCCAAATCTAGCTCTGTGTATACTTTCTCTGGATTTCTAAGGGCCCTAGAATGTCTGGCCAGTCAACCGGTGAGAGCTTGCTAAGAGGGGCTCAGTTCCACGTGGCTGTGCGGGCACCCAGCTCATGTCAGAGGATGAGCAGTCTTTGTCTCAACTGTCCGCTGTGTGCCCATCCGCTACTCAGGCTTAGTGCTGCAGCAACACCATCACTGCCTGCTGCTCCCCTCTGAGGTAGGTAGTTTAACCCTGCAAGGACCATTTGTCCTTTCAATGGCACATCTAAGACTTGCCATCGACTTCTAAAACCTGACATGAACATTAAGCTCTAAGCTATCTAAAAAGGTTACCCCAGTAAAAAAATCCCAGTACCTGCTTCTGTCAGAGAGCACCTAACATCTCAAATGCTGTCACACAGGTGAGAAAACATTGACCATTTGCCAAAAAAAAAAAAAAAAAAAAAAAAAAGGGGCATGTAGCTCCCAGCTGGGTGTAGCTGTCAGTCTGCATACCTGGCCCATGAGGACAGTGGACTTAGTATAAAGTCCAGTAAAATTAACCGAAAGGCTTCCCACTGACTGCATGGGATTTAGGATCATTCTGTAACTATGTCCTAAATGCTAACAACCCTCCTCCAGGCATGACAGTAACCACCTCATCAAATAGCCACAGTCCAACGTTCTAGTTAACATTCTCATGGCTAGAGTACAACTGGGTCCTGCTGTACAAGAGCAGTTTCAAAGTTAGCCTATTGCTGGTCCCCGCTGTTCTAGTGTAAAGGATAAGAAGTCTGAGTGAACAAGAAAGAAGATATGCTATCTTCAGATTTCCATAGAGATCAATTTGAGCTGAAGAGAAAAACAGAGAAGTCTCTACAGTTCTGTTTTCAGCCACTCAGAAGTGATCTCGCTGTAGCTCTTCCTCCTTTTCACTTTGTAAGTCAAGGCTTGGGAATATTCAGACAGCAGATGCTCCCAGTAGCAAGAGACATCCTCCATCTGCAAGTGCTCAGTGATGAACTGGCGTCCCCTAGAGACACACAAGGCAGAGTCAGAACCAATTTCCATTTCCTACAAGAGTCTTTGGTTTTGTTTTATATGTATATCAACTTTCACTCTTCTGTGTTTCAAATGAGAAACAACATGCACTGCTTTGCACCATCTATTTTAATTTCACAACTTTCATTCATGCTCATAGCTCTGACAGTTGCAGTGCTTTTGTTATCCTCAAGATGGTATTTGTTATCTGGGATAATAAATATCAGATTTCACATCCCAAATACAGTCTGAGCAGCACTGGTGCCTGCTGTTCAGAAGCCAGTCGCTGCCAGCCTGGATACATGATGCTTACAACCAGATGCAGTTCCCAGGGGTCAACCCACCTCACACTGAGACGAAAGCTCCCAATTTCTGATAGCTTTCAGTGGAGTTCCTGACATGGGTCACATATGAACCAAAGACCTAAGCATATCATCTTGTTCTCTAGTTCCCCCTGCTTGTTACAAGCTCTCCAACCCTCCTGCTGTTATTGCAGATCAGCTGTACTGCACCCTATTAATACTAGGCTGTCTTTGATAGGTAACCCCTTCAAAAGCTGAATAAGAAAATGCTTTGGAGGAAGACTGCCTGATAGCCAGAAAGGACACGCAACTTACCGCTCTGAAATTTCTTGTGCTATGGCATCATTCTCCTTTACAAACTGCAACAGCTCCCTAAAATAAAGACAAAAAAAAAAAGCTGTGAAACAGCCAGCTCAATGGAAAACATTGTTCCTCATCTTAATTTTTGCAGAGGATGAGATTAAGGATCTACAACTGAGCAAGGGACTGGTGCTCCTCATTTCAGAGCACAGAGGAAACCTGCCCTTCTCATCTGCTCTGTATCAGTTCTGGACAGCATGCTGAAATCTGGGAACTAACACATTTCGGGCCCAGTGATAAGTTCCTCTTATCTGGGCTGCAGGGCCCGCTCGCAAGTCTAAGGGCCTAGTGCCTGCTTCTTTCAATCAGGGTGACAGACCTACATACTCCAGTGGAACTGTACTCTCCAAGTAATAGAAGCAAAGGATTCTTTGGGGGCAATAATAAATAGAAAAGAACGTGACCTCCAAGAGCTTTTGCCTGATGCCAAAGAGTGGAGGCACTTCTCGGTGTAATACAAACCAAACCGCCTTCCCAAACACAGCAGTGTTCTCCTGTGGCATGCAGTGCTCCATTGAGCACACCCGGCCTCGCACCTGACGTCAGAGAGGTCTGATCGGACTGGGATGTAGTGCACCCAAGGCTTCAGCTGAGGGTAGAAGAACTCCAACCACTCTTCTCCAACGTGAAAGACAAGTGAACCGCATAAGAAAAGGTGTTTCAACCGGAAACTGGCAGCTACTCCCCGGAAATTAAACAGATACCTTTAAAAGGATAAGGAAGGAGAGGGACCTGATTACGCTTGCCATTTTATGGGGAAACGCACTAAGAAACCGTATTCTGAGTAGCAGTCAATCTTCCCTCACAGGTAGCAGCTTGGGGGGCGGTTTCCCTCACACTGAGCTATGCACCGGTTGCTAAAACAAAGGGAAAACATTTAATTGAAGCTCCTCGTAGGAAAAGGGAGCTGAAATTAAGGATGTTCTAGGTGAGTTTCTGCTGTCTTCAAAACTGAGGGAGAAAATCAAGGCATGAGGCTCTAATTCTGACAAAGACACCTGTCCATGCCAGACCAAAGGAGGCTTCACGCATACCTGCCGACGAGGCACAAGGTCACAGTGGGGATGCTGATCACATAACCCTACACTTCAGAGACTCTGTTACCATGAGGAGATTCTTTCCAATTCCCTATTGTCTTGCAGTGAGCTTTTCTGTTCATTGTTCTGCTTTGCCACATCTATCTCAGTTGGTTTGTTTTTTGCTTTTTTTCCTCTGGGATTCTGTTTTAATCTAATTGTTTCGAATTAACTTGGGAATGCAACCCTAGGAGGTTAAACAGGCTAGCACACAACAGATGGACTTTGCAGATAACAAAGAATCCACAATTTTGTTTTCAGTATTTTCTGCCAAGTTAGTAAAGTGGGCTTGACTGGGGGCGGATTTCTCTTAGCAAACTATCTCAGAGGGATGCTTGTTTGCTTACTTGCTTTTTTTTTTTTTTAAACCCACATTTCTCCAATTATATGGAAAGCTGTTTTTCCTGTGGGTAAAACCCCTCGGTACATATAACTAATCTTTGAAGTCAAACATTTTGGGCTGGGGGAAGGGAGTTTTTCCCTTTAATGAAGCTATTTTGGGCATGATGGGGATTATATATTATATATATTGTGGGCGAGATGGGAATTATAGCTAAACTTAGTTCAGCAGTAAGTGACAAGGAGTACATCTGATATTATTTTGCGTTCTTTGTATTACCTAGGAGTTCAAGGCAGGGATAAGGGGCTCATTGTGTTAGGAACTCAGCAGATACATGCAGAGGTCCAACAGGAACAGTGGTCTGAAGCGAGTAAATGCCCCTGTCCAGTTCTAGACACAGCTCTCACCACCCGTGACCTCAGCCAAGACACTGAGCGCTGCTCTCAGCCAGCCTGCTATAGCACCTACACTGAAGGAAGCAGCGAGAAGTTCATGTTGACCCTGTCAGACGCTGGGCTACAACAAAAGTGTGTGAGAGTGTCTCAGCCTTTACTGTACAAGGGGCTTAGGAGGCATCAAAGTTGGGAAGTCTATGTGTAACAGAAGGGAGAAATCTGGGCAACAGTCTAGTAAAATATAAAATGAAACAAGTCAATCACATTTGCACAAAAACACAGATCCAGCCAAATGACCAAGTTCCTATATCAGCAGATTCTAACTGGCAGAATTGTAACTAGGTAATCTTAAAGCAAAAGAAAAAGCAAAACATCAGATATACAAGTGCATACACACTAACCATTTATATTTTTTACACAGAAACCCAAGAATATTACACCAAAACCCCCTCCCTGAAGTAGTTAAAAAATAAAAAAAAACATTCTCCCAAACAATATACAAAGTATAAATCAATACTATATTTGCTCAATCATATTTCAGGTTCTCTCTTTTATTATATACATCCAGTGGCAACATTTGTCCCAGTATGCATATGAAGACATAATTCCTTAGTTCCTTATGTCTTTGAAGACAGCAATGCTATCACTGTAGCACTGAAAAATAAATTTTCAACACACAGCTTGGTAAAGGAATATAAAGAAAAACTGATAGAAAGTCTTTCTGATTAAAAAATAGAATAAAATTTTACATCTATATGTTTATTAGTAATCTAAGGCATTCACTTTCCCCGAAGCATTTATTTCTCCTGACCCGACAGGGGAAAGCTGATACTGAAAGAGACCATGCTAAGCAATCAGATTTTCAACTGCCTTATGTCTGTTTACAAGCTTTCTTACCTGCATAGAGCTGGTTGCTGGAATTAGACCTTAAAATAAAATGAGACCTTACACCATGCAAGGAAAGAAATAACCCACAGCCCTTGAACAGCTTTACTATTCAAAACTCTTACTTGTATTTGCAGTGATCAACCAGTGGAATTTCTTTTGCAGGAGGCTTCCCTAAGGTGTCCTTAAAATTAAACAAAAAAAAAAATCAGTAAGCTTTACATGGTGATTTCATATTTGTTTTCCTTCTCAGTTAGAAACAAAGCTGAAGTCTCAAAACCCGCCATTCCCACTTCTGAGAAAATCTTCTCTGGTGGGCTTTTAGAAGTATTATGAAGAATTCCCAGCCCTTCAAACAAGGAAAAAAAAATCAGTAAATTACACACTGCCTGTAAGCAAACGCCAGCACAAACACATTAAATGATAATGTTTAGTTGGCAGCTACAGAGTGGAAAACAGCTTGGGACAATGGACTGTGTGGAGCCAAGTGTAACCGGATTAGCCAAAACTGTCTGGAGAAAGATGGACTGCAGACTAAATATGGAACTAAAAAGTTATCAGCAACAGTTATCCAAAAGTTATCAACAACAAGCCCAAGAAACAGAGATGGCAGAAAAAGGTTTAAAAAGACTGACAACAACACACAGGCAGCTCAGGGCTAGAAGAGGATGAGTTAGCTCATTTTGTTGTAATGGAAGAGGAGGGGATTGGCAGGGATTCATTTTCTTACATGTGCTGGTTTCCTTGAACAAAAAGTGTAGATGGAAGAAAAATGTTTGGCCTGCCAGGCTCTAGAGACTCCTTCCTTTCATCTGTCAGAGAGGTGCAGCCATTAAGGGAACTACAAGCCTCCCCCACTCTAGAGGGCCACCCACAACCCTCCAACAAGATGCTTCTCAATCATCAAAGCCATCTTGCAATGCCACCCTTTCTGGCCTTCACACTCAGGAGACAGACAACACCCACACACCTTCTCAGATTTCCAAGCCTGGTTTTTAGTGTACTCAGCATCAACAAGTTCTGGGTTTTCTCGGGACAGCAGAATGAGGGGATCTCTCTCCGGGCTCGTTCTACAAAAGAAATGCTACCAGTAATTGCCAATCTACATGATCCAACACAGCTAACGAACAACCAGACTCAAGTCCGACTCTGCCGCTTTATAAGGCTGACCTCCCTATGTGCCCCGAAAACATCAAGTACCTACCATACAGTGTAATTCTGTCCAAGGGTAAATTAGCAAGAGAATGAGTTATGTATACTGAAATGATCTGAGGCCACAATTCTTTATTTCACTTACTAAATATTTAATAGTATTATTTAAGCAATTCCCATGACAAATCAGCAGAGATGTTGCTTCCCTCAGGCTTTACCCTGATGGGTGCCAAATACTTTAACTCCCTTCTAAGTCAGAGAGAACTAAGAGTGCTAAGCACCTTCAGTGATGATCCCTCTGACACTAATTTAAAACACTATTCAGAAACAAGGTTATGACATCCCTGAGGCTCACTCATCATCATCTGAGCCTACCTAGTAAGATATCAAATCCTTCCCTACTGGGGATGGGGGAGGAACAAAGTATTGGGTTTAACATTGTTTTCAAACTCTCCCTGGAGAGAGGGCAAAAATAATCTTTTATTCCCCCACACCTCTCAGGTAGCGTAAAGCAAGAATACTTTCAATTCAGTGGAGCACTTGCATAGCAAATAATGCATTCACACTGGCAAGAAGCAAGCACATCAATATAAAAATCTTTACATGTGTATCATGCACCTGCAGTTCTCTTCACAGAACAAAACAAGCTGGTTCCTAGTGTGACAGTTTTATTCATTAAGAGATAATGTAGCAACTCTGTCACAACTTCTGTTTCCAATATTAGAATTATAATAAACTAGTTGCAAATGGCGGTTCTTATGGAGAATCAATAATGGTGAAATACTGCTGTACAAAATGTCTCGTTTCCCTTTTATAAAATACATTCTGGGTCACACTTGTTTAGGTCTTAGAGATACAGAAATTTCTGCATACAGACCACTGTCACAGCATATGCTGGTAGAATCTCCTGTTACAGAAAAATATGCTTACCTGGATCCTCGGAAGTATCCTTTAGAGATTTTTTTCATCCATGGCCATTTTTCTGCAGATCTGAAAATATTGTTTATACATGGCAATAAATTATTTAATATAACCATGAAAGAGCACTCTCATCAGTTTTCACAGCATGATCTCTTTGTATTATTCTTCATTTTTGATGGAAATCACTTTCTTCATTATAGCAGAAAAAACTCTCAGCCAGGTCCAATGAAACAGGTTTTCCTGTGAATATTGTATTTAAGGCAACATGATATAGGCTACTTTTCTGAATACCTCTCAGCCAAAGCAATGAATTACTAACAACCCCCTCAGTAAACCTTTAAGGGTATTAAAATTTATGTAAAGTTTGAATCCACTTTTTGTATTGTTGCTTTATTTTTCTGTACTTCACTGAATACAGACAGTGCAAAATGACTGAAGTTTCTAACCACTGCCATTTCCCATTAATAAAACCCCAAACAAAAACAAACAAAAAAACCCCGTCGGGTGTTTTGCATTTAAAACACAGGGGTTCATTGTTTTGACAAATAACTTTCACTTAAAATCTAGGTAAGTCCTTCAAAATAGCTGTTCACGTGTTTTATTTCTGTCAGTCTAGTCACTCTGAGGAACATTTTGTTGTACTTTTCTGTTGTACCTAGCTTGACATATAGGTCCTGATCCCCTACTGATCTGCGCAGGCCAAGCTTTGCACCTGCTCGTAACACAGTGACACAAGTGGGGTTCACTGAGAAAGCAAGGATAAGCAAATGCTTTGGACCTTTATTATATTAGATCACATTAGGCTTCAGCTATGATTAGTCCTATAGATCTTCAGATTTTGAAGAGGGAAACATTCAACCTTGCATTCTGATGTCAAGTGATTGACATCAAGGTAGCTTTCTTGTTATGTGTCTATGTTCACTCACTGTTGCACACTTTATCACTTTCCACGAGTAACAACCCCTTATTCTGCTAATAGTCAAAGATACTGCTAAAAGAAAGACTCCCCATCAGAAATGTCTTCTGTCTTACTCTCAGCCCAGTAATGACTCTTTATTCTTAGCAATGATTCCAGGTTTCTCTATTGCGCATTGCAATACTCAAGTAAAAGCAGATCTAAAGAAGGCTTTCCTTTACCCTTCCAGAAGCTTAAACAAACATCCTAGATCATCCCTGCAGTGAAAAAACCACAGCTCCTAGAGAAGTAGTTGGAAACAAAGGAAAATATTTCCATGTGTCAGGGGAGATTTCTGCAGGCAAAAGATAACTGCTACTGTATTGACAAACCTTATCTCACCAAAAATGATAGTAATCTGGCCCCGACAGCAAGAAGAATATGCATACTTTGTCCTCTGCATTCCTCACAAAAGTGTTGGAAACAGAGAAGCTAATTGTAACTTCTAGTTACATCATCCAAGGTTTCCATGGAGAATTCTTATATAGCAGTTAGTCTTTATGTAGTTAATGAGAGGCTGCAGGACAGATCACAGGCCAAGAGACCTATGGTCTTAGACTTCAACATTAGCTCAGTGATGTCCATTACTAGATGGCTTTTACTGTGAGTTTGTCTTCCATTAAACCTCCCCACATAGGTAAACATTTCCAAAACATACCTTCTGAGGTCCTCTCTCATGAGGTCCCAGCGCCCTAAACCTGTTGGGTAAATCGGCCAGACAGCTGGTCCTCCTTCCCAAAACGTCCAGGCAGGATACATGATATCATTGTATTCAGGTGTCTTTAGAAAAAGGAGAGTAAGGTAAGAACAAGAGTAATATCTACTTCAGTTTATTGACTGAGCCCATCAGTAATGAATGTCCCTTCTAGGAGTTCTGTCGGCTTTCCCCGTTATTGTTCCATAAGCAGTTGTAAGAGCTTTGCACTGTTGCTGGCGTTCAAATGATGACAACCCAATATTTAAATTTTTCAATTACTTTTAAAAGACACTATGTCTTGCATGACAACACAGGACTTCCATGTCAGCAAAGAATAAAAGAGGTCCATGATATAGCCAATAAGTAAACAGCAAAAGACCTGAACTCCACTCACCTTTCTAAAGACTTGTGCCTATGTGTAGCTACAAGTGTTTTCTACTGATGGTAAGTTAAGCGGCATTATTATCTCCTCAGAGCCACTTATAGACACTTTGACATTTAGGTTTCCAACACTTCAGTTCATTTCAGCCTTCCTAGAGATCACTTAACAATTCAATGCAACAAGTATCCAGGTCATGTAACAATTTCAGTTCCTCACTCTTACTTGTATGCTTAAATCCCCATATAATCAGAGCAAAGACCAGCAAAGATGGAGGCAGACTCTTTTCAGAAGTGCAGAGACAGACTGAGGCAACAGGCTTTGATTACAAGAAGGGAAAATACTGGGAAACATGTTTTCATTCTGACAGAGACACTGTCTGTGTACACCCTGTCCTCAGGGGTGCTCAGATCTGGGCAGGACACAGCCAGGAGCACCATGATCTAGTTGGTCCTGCTCCAAACAACATGCTGGACTGGGAGACCTGAGATTCCTTCCAGCTTAAGTGGCTGTGTGCTTCTATGATCAGCTCCTTCTCAGTCTTGTTGTAAACAGGCATTGATAACAAACCATGATATCTCCACCACCACCCCACAGTCGGCCTTCTGAGAGGCAGAACACGACAATCCTTCAATCCCTTATACTTTCAGCCACAGAAAGCACCCTGGACCAGCACCCTGGACCAGCACCCTGGACCAGCACCCTGGAGCCTTCCTAACACCGGCTAGTTAAATGTGAGCTGTGCCTGGGACACTAAGTTTCAGTTAAGGACAGAGCTGAGGTTACAGTTCAGATATTGGACAACAATGACCAGACAACTCAAGTTTCTTGCACCCAGGGGCAGGATGAATACAGCTGCAAATATTAAAATTCTGCAACCTGCTCTGCATCAGTTTGGGTTCTGCTGGCTAGAGTTAAAGCTGTGCAATGGTCAAGAGGCAAAACAGCTAGCTTCACTACCACACCTGGCAGCAAACATGGTTATTCAATGACAGTGCTTGCAATGCTGCACTGAAATTCTAGAGAGTTTTATGACAGCTGAGGACTAGGCAATAGTTATGGATCCTATTATGGTTTAGACTTCATGAGCTGAAGAGCTAGATTCAGAGTACGATGTTACAAGTTAGCAGAAACAGAATAGGGCCTGAACTAGCAAGAGCAAATGGTTTATTGCTTCTTTTTTTCATCTTACTGTATACTGGGCTTCAGCCAAGAACAGATCATGATCAGGGTTAGGTAGCGAGGGTGCAAGGTTGGGGCACATTGGGTGTACACTACGGCAAAGCAAGACTGACAGAAGCTTGAGGCGTCACGGTATTTTGCTGGAAAGGATGAGACACTACACTGCAGTCAGGTTTAACGACGGGAGAGGCAGGAAAACACACAGGAGGGCTCTCAAGTCTGGGAACAGAGAAGCAGAAAGCCGATGTCTCTATGCGTGCACATGCCTCTGCATGTGTGTGCATGTTTGCAGATGGAAAAGGGAATCCAGGGGAAAAGGGTTCACAGAAGACAGCAGTATTACAGAAAAGAAAATAAGAAACACTTACCTGTGGTACCAAAAAAGATTAAAATAGTCACGTTACATGAGATGTACTGTATGAGTATGACAGTTGACTGATGATCAAAAATCCTTAACAACACTGATAAACTATGGCTACAATTTTAACAGAGGCACTGTAGCAAATGACAGCTATGCTGGCACATATCCCATCCAGCTGTGCATCATTCCGCTGTGGCAGAGGTACATTTTTTGACCTGGAAGAGGAGCTAATGAGGGGAAAAACCATTCTATTGAATAAATCTGCAAGTCTGCCTGCCAGAAAACTGGAAGCAAAAGGAAACATAAAGAACAAAAAAAGAGCAAGCAATTCTGACACACAGAAAATCTGTGGGGAACCATCCTGAAAAACACGTTCCCAAGAGGAAGGAGGACACACACGTGTCAGAAATGCTCAGCTTTTAAAGATGCACGCACCTTACTGAAGGAAAAGACTGGGATAATAGGTTTCATCCACTTGGGGACCTGGGGGTAGTCTCGCACATTGATTACCATTTCCATGTCAGGGAGGCGGTTGATGATCTCCAGAAGGAAGTGCTCAACTCCACTGCATCTGTGGTGAAATTACATATGGCAAAGAACTGTTAGAAGAAGTCAGAATCATGCAGTCTCCTGCAGGTCCTTCTCTCTGAGCAGGAGCAGAAGAGACAGCCATACCATAATGCAGGTTGGGAACTGCCTATAGCAGCCTCTAAGCCCCAGTGTAGTACAGACACTGGTGAAGCAACCCATCCTGTTAAATCTGGCCTGATCTGCAGCTTTCTCTGGGATCCCACAACCAACCAACCACCAAACAACCCACCCACCCTTTGTACACTGAACTGCAAAAAAGACACTCGCCTCTTGCCCCATTTAAGCCTCATACATAATTTTCTAGGCTCCTGGTCTGATAAGGAATTGAAACCTCCAAAATATCACTGTGCTCAAGGACTTTTAACTTGGCAGATTTGGAAGTACTCCTGTGTCCCAGATAGGGAGACACGATCCTCTGCACAGCCTCTTACCTCGCAGGGAACAAGCAGTCCTGCTCACGGTACAGTTTGTTCTTAATGATTTGGTAGTGTGTCCCCAGCTTCCGGCTCACCACATCTGATATGATCTCCTTGGAAATGCCATCTCGAAAAGGAGACAGGTCCTGCTTCCAGACACTGAAACAAAACAATCAGCCATTATTATGTACAATAGAGAGGATACTCTGCATTAAATTACTGCAGTATACAGAACAGACTTTTAGCTAAAACAAGCTCTGTGTAGCTTCCAGGAGCTCTGCTACATGTGGCACAACGGAGAATTTAATTTAAGTCGCTTGGAAGAGCTACTACCAAAGAGACTCAATGGTCCAAGCTTCGCTCTTTGACTACCTATGCGTGGTTAGCCTGAACAAGCCCAGCACAGGACTCAGGCTAAATCAACATGGACAACTCTAGTTACTCTCCCAGAAAGGACCTTACATACCCTGGCAGATTATGGGTAAAAGTCTTCAGCTACCTTAACCTATGAGTTGCAAAGCTTGTGCTTTGGCCTTCCATGAACAATGGGCCACACCAAGACCAAATTCCTCACACAGTGTCATGCTATTTAGACATTAAAAAAGAAGGTAAGAGTCTAGTTGCAAGGAACAGCATTGCCCAGTAATGCTAAGTGCAGTGAAAGGCAGCACAGGACAGGCCTATGTAGCACATGTTCTGTGACATCTGCATATCACCAGTGAGCTCCAGGAATGCAGTACAAAAACAAAACTAACAAATATAATAAAGTACAGGAGGAGGATGTAGTTTATATAAATTTAGTCTAAAGATCTTCAGATCTAATGGTTTGGAGCATTTACCGAACACTGTCAAAACTACAACAGTCATGAAGACACCCTCCCCACTTTTTGGTAGACACCGCATCAATGCCTTAGTTTAATACAACACTGTCAGAGTGATCCACCTGTGAGGATGGTCAAACACCAGTACAGGTTGCCCAGAGAGGCTGCAGAGTTTCTATTCAAAATATGATTGGACATGGTCCTGGCAACCCTGCTTGAGCAGAGCTGGACTTGAAGATCTCAAGAGGTCCCCTCCAACCTCCATGATTCTGCTATTTTGTAATCAGGTAGAAAACAGTAAAACTACATTTAAAAATTGTCATTGAGCAGATGGGATGACCACAGGATAAGCAGTCTGGCAGGGATGCAAATGTAATGAGCTTGAGAACAGGAAGAAAGGTGCAGTTTTATGGCACATCCATGTCAGAGTAACCTAAGTGACAACTGAAAGGTAGCAACAATCAAGGTGGGACCTCCAGTCCCTGGCCACCGAATCACAAAAGACCAGAAATAAGTAGAATGTGTTATACGGGGAAAAGTACTGGCTTTCAGTGTTCTGCTGAGTTATTTACATACCTTCAAATCAGCTACCAAAATGAATGAAGCTTCTTAAGTGTCATACAGCATACATGTTGTATTATCTTCCTGGATTCTTTTGTAACACCTGTCACTATAGCAGCACCCCTTACCAACCCTTAAATGAACTACTGCTTCAGTGAAAACTAGGTTTTGAGACCCACGGCAACCATAACTTCACGTTACTGCCAACTATCATGTTCTGAAGCAGATTTGGAGGTTGTAACCACTTGGGAAAGCGTTCTACCCAAAGGTGGGCAGGAGATAGTAGAGAGTATGTTTAAAAAGCTGTATCCGAATTGGAACTTAGGGAAAAGACTGGAAGGCTAAACTAAAAGAGATTTTTCCTCATCAATATTTCAAGAGCAATGAAGATCAAAAACTGAAAACAGAGCGTACAAACACTTGCCCAATATGACTCATCTAATATTAAAGGCCAATATAGCACTCAATCTCACCCCCAAAATGAGTGAGCATATCTGGTACTTTTAAACAGGGGGTTTAAAGTTGGGCATCAGTGTTTCTGCATTTGGAGTCCTAATCCTAAAGGCAGAAGAATATGTTGATTCTTCACTGAATTGCCTCTTCTCTTTTAAATAAAAATGCCGCTTAAAGCTATCAAAAAACCCAGCCCTATAATCCCTGGATATATGTCAATGATGACCTATGCACCTGTAATGTACACCACACCACAGCTGTGCTCCATCAGTGTGAACAGAAAGGAAGTTTGGTTTGGTTATGCCTAGAAGACAGATGAGCTTGCACTTGTACTGCCTACAGTGGTCTTGCACCACATCTAAGCCTCTAGCTCTTCACATTAAATTCACTGTAGGAAGATTAGGCCAGCATTTCAAGTCAGAGTACTAGCATTATGCCTAATGCTCCATACTTATCAAAAAAAGTAAACAGGACTGGTGTCTTCTTGAATGAGCTCCTCTTGGATCACACTTTGGTCTCGTGAAAGTCAGGTAGATAAATATCTATCATCACTCCCATTCTCAGAAGCAGTGAGCTCGATTCCCTAGAAAGAGCGCTAAGAAGTACAGCACACTATCACACCAAATGAATCTGTGTTCTGAAACAATCTTTCTTAATCTAGCTATTTAGAATATTTTACACATACTTGCTTTCTTCCACTTTTAAAAGCCCATGAGAAAGATTTGTTGGCAACACTGCACTAAGAGAGAAGGCAGAAGTGTATTGTTAAGACAGAAATGTCACCAGCTGTGAGTACGGTATTGCACGATCATGTGTGAAATGCTGACATAGTGTATGTTCAATCACAGAGGACAACAAGGAGTGTGATCAGCTTGTGAGTGCACACATCTTCTATTGGAACTATGGATGCCAACCTGTTTCACACAATGCCGTTAATAACCTCCTCCTTGCAAGCACCATGACCTGCAGTGGCTACAGATGTGATACCTTAGCACCCAAATATTCTCTAGCTAATGTCTAACCATCAGCGATGACAAAAGTCTTTTCTCTCATGCTCAGAGGCCTGTGCAGTCAAAAGGAAGCCAGTTTCTCACCTTTGGTGGCAGCTGCAATTCTCCTTTACACACGGCTTATAGACTTCCAGAGCTTTCTTAATTTGGTCAGTTATTGTTTTCCATTTGGCATCTAAAACACACAGGAAGGAAAAGTCAAAGGAATTAATTCACTGAACTATACGAACAAGTAGCAGGGGCTGAACAGCATGTCTGGTCTGGCTGGCAACAGGGATGCACCAAAGTCCCACATCACACTCGGGACCTGCTCCAGCCCACGCAGCTCAACGCGGGCATGCCTACAGCAAGCGGGGGAAAGAAAAGCCCTCAGGGGCAAGGAGAGGGGCCACCCAGCTCGGGGGG